GTCCCCCCCCCTCAAGTCTTGACGGGGATGGTTTGTTTGCACCCAGCGGCGCTGCCGTCCGCTTCGGGTAAGCCCACGGAGTACTCCGTGGTGGCGATGAGCAGCATGTCCAGAGTCGTCTCCGTACACTTAGCAATGAAGCGTATGAAAGGCCTCACGTCGCCCTCGTTGGCGACTTCCAAGACGTGGTAATACTCGGCCCGCTGCTCCTTGCGGATCGTGACGGGGGGGTAGCCTGCCTGCATCAGGATGAGGTTCATGAGCAGGCGTGAGGTCCTCCCGTTGCCATCTACGAACGGGTGGATGTAAACCAACTTGTAGTGGGCCAACGCAGCAAATTCCACAGGGTGCAAGCTCATGGCATCTTCCGAGTTAATCCACTGCACCAGCTCCCGCATCTGCTTCTCCACGTCCCGGGGGTGAGGTGGGATGTGGTGGCCCACAAACACCTGAGTGGCCCTGAACCGCCCCGCCTCCACCGGGTCGGCGTAGCCCAGCACCCGCCGGTGGATCTCCAGGAGGTCGCTGATGGTTACGGAGCCGATCCGCGACACCAGCGTGGTGTTGACGTATTTCAGAGCCGCGTGCATGCCGATCACCTCGTTCTGCTCCACTAAGCTTTTCCCAGGGACCGCGTACCTGGTCTCAATGATGTGCCGGATCTCGGACAGCGTCAGGGTGTTTCCTTCGATAGCAACCGTGTGGTAGATGTGGTGATAATAGGACTCCTCCATCACTCGGCGCAGGGCAGAATTGCCTTTGGGGATCGCCATCACTTTTTTAACCTTGCTGTCAATAATGCTGAAATACCTCTGATCTATCTCTTCAACCAACGGTAGCGTCCGGTCCCGATTGATCAAAGCCTTCTCGTTGCAGGGCGAGAGGGTTAGTGCTTTGGAGTACAAGTAGTCAGCTTGAAGAATGTCCTTCTCCTCTTCAGAAAAGATGCCGAATTCGTTCAGGGCATCCACGTAATCAGGGTCCATTTTGAGGGCGTACACAAAGAGCTTGTGGGCTTTCTCCCGCTTCCCTTGGCGCTTCATTTCGAGGGCTTGGTTCAGAGCCGCTCTGGCTTCTAACTTCACTTCTGAAACACAACAGTTCGATAACAGGGGGGTGAGTCTTACCGAAAGCCTCTGGAGACCGCCGCTGCTCCCCGCTGCAAACATTAAATAGCGCCAGTCTGCAAGAGCCGTAACAGAACCTGTACTCCCGCCTTCGCCGGGCTGCAGGCGCAGACCCCCTGCCCCAGAGCTGCTGCTGGCCGGC